TATCTATCTATCTATCTATAATTCTATATATATATATATATATATATATATATATATATTTACATAAAATAAGCCAGAGAACAAATATCTGACACAAAATAATGTTGAGAGACTGAGAGAGTTCACAGATCAAAATCAGTTTTGGGGGAGATGGAAAAACTTAAACAACAAAAAAGACAACATGGCCCTACAAAATGATAACATTTGGAAAGATAATTTTGAAAAACTATATGAGCAAATACCTCTTAACAATCTTCTTTGTTAGCTTTTAAGCAGTAATATTGGGAATTTTTTTGCAGCATTATCAATGCCCGGATGCTGGACTTCCTGTACAGAATGTCCTGAGTAAAGGGCAAATTGTCTTTTTACCAAATCAGTGTACCACTGACCACGTTTACACTCCAAACACAGAGACTCTAATTTTCTCTACTCGTCCGCAATAAACAATAACAAAATGCTAAATTTGCACGTAAATAAAAGATATACCTCCTTTAAAACTCTACATGTCTCAGTCATTTCCATACTAATAATCTCTGTTCAGCAAAACACATTATTATTCCAGAAAACCCATACGGCAATAACAATAACCATCATATACAATACTACAGCAAAATGCAAAAATATCACTTTAGGTTGACAATTGCAACACTTAAATTGATCATCATGTACACAGAAAAAAAGGGGACATTTTTGCATGTTTTATTGATTTTAAAAAGACTTGGTTCTATTGGGCAAGAGGAATTATATTATACAGTTCTCCAACCAATTGGTGTAGGGGGTAAACGTAATTAAGTCAATGTATGTCAGTCATAAATGTGAGGTAAAAATTGGCAACCAAACTACAGATCTCTTCACTCAAGGGAGAGGCATCAGGGCAACAGCTTGTCTCCAACTCTATGTAACATCTACAATAATGATCCTCTAGTACTGTTGGAGTAATCTGGAAACCCTGGCCTAACTCTTCAAAGTAAGGGAGTTGCACTGCAACCCCATATGCAACTGTGATGCACTGTGTGTTTTGACACTTTTCACTTCACCTGTCAGTGGTTATAATGTTATGGCTGATCGGTGTAAATTCCTGCTCTGTGCTAGTGACTTAGTGTTGCGGTCACCCGCACAACAAGGTCTACAGCAACACCTGGACCCCCTGGAGCAGTCAGAACTGAGCCCTGAGCTATCCAACCACTAATCAAAATAAACCAAATTATTAAAAGAGTATCTCTTTAATGTCAGAGATACAAGGCAGAGACCAATTCTGATCAAATACAGACAATATTATTATTATTATTATTATTATTATTATTATTATTATTATTATTATTATTACAGAAAACGCATACGGCAGTAACAATAACCATCATATACTGTACAATACTACAGCGACGGGGGCTCCCTCCCATGAAACATACATTGTTTGAGCCCAGTGTACTTGATTAACATCATCATCGTTTTATGCTTCCATCTTGAACACAGACAACAACTCATTTTCTGACATGCTCACGTGAGCTTTCCCTGTGACATTCTTCTCATACACTTTATAACGCATATAACCACATTGAAAACAAATATAACACATATGGAAAACTCTTTAAACTTATATTCTATCCAAGAAATTATTCTATTCAATAATCTACGTATGACCTGTTGTGCCACACTCAATTTTAAATGTCTCAGACATTTAGTTACCAAGGATTGTTTCCACTTCACACATGAACTTTTCTTAGTGAATTCCCATGGTATTATTAAATGGCACTTAAATGTTCATAACATTCATTACTTTTTTAATTCACTATGTTGTGTCTGAAAAGTGTAATTTATCGTAGTGTACATTCCAGTTAGTAATATACCATACATTTTCAGTTAGAGTAAACAAATCTGTCCAGATCAACACACCGTGTAACAGAGCTCAAGTTTCAGCCTCAGTTCTTTTTCAGCCTCTTTGGTTTACAGTCTAATGAGTCCAATGTGGTCTCTGTGGATCAACTCTCTTCATATATTCTCAGTTTATTTCCAGAGTCGCCACAGTCTTTGCCAGGCTGGAAACATACTCACTTGTAGGAGTTCTGCACAAACCTCCACCACAGTTGGCTCACCCAAAGACCTGTAGGTCAGCATCCTCGGTCATCATCTCTCCCTTTGTGGGTAGCTGGTTGCAGACGATGGTTTCCTCTGATGACTTTTGTAGATTTTCCCCAGGCTCAGCAGCATTATCCTCTAGTGTGATATCCATGCTGTCTGTCTCCATCTCCTCTAGTTCCGGTTCTCCCCTTTTCCTCCCCTGATCTGGTATGAATGGCTCTGCATCTGGGTTCATACCAAAAGCTTTTGTCTTGCCCTAGTCTGAACATACTCTACTGGTTGCATAGGCCTGGGCAAAACAAGTATAATGGCCCATTATGACTAGAATGTACTCAAATCAGGCCTCTAAATGCAAAAAGTCTGTAGAGACTAGCTCAAATGGATGTGTAGTCACGATTGATATCAGAGGGACTCTAGGTGGTTTATGTGAGCGCTTTGCCTTCAGACACTCACACACTTGAGTAAGAAAATGTTCAGTATCACTGTGCGTATGGGCTCAATAAAATCTGTCCCGAATCAGGTACTGTCGACTCCCAAGTTTGGCATTTATTTGTGTAACTCTTGAAACACTGTCTAAGGATGTTCTTTAGGTAAGACATGCTGCCGTTTATCTCCTGCTTTTCTGCAGAGGACCCCATTATCATACAGTTATACAGTTTTTGAGTTATGAGTGTTTCTGGAGGGGGGCTTGTTGTTTCTCTTGTACTGCAGGACTCGACCAATGACAGGTTTCTCTCTCTTGGCTTTCTCTAATCTGCTCTGATGTTAATGGCCAAAGTAGGTGAGCATGCGTCACTCACTAATGCAGTGCATTTTGGTGGGTGGTCATTACCCAGACTGGTGGAGTGTGTCTCTGTATTATAACTCCCTGAACAGATGCACTGATCACCTCCTGGTTCACTTCCTCTGTACACTGTTCCATGATGTTCATTTATGTCAAGTGGCATTTGGGAGAGACCATCTGCATCAGCATTGTGCTTACCAGATCGGTACTTTATGGAAAAGTTGAAGTCTGCCAGTTGAGCGACCCACCTATGACCTGTGGCATTGAGCTTAGGTGTCCAAGAAATTATTCTGTTCAATAACCTACATATGACTTATTGGGCCACAGGTACATTTTTGTGAGAAGTGACCTACAGTCTACAGAGCCCAGTAAAGAAGAAATTATTTGTGTGAGGAGCTAAAGAGGTAACGTGTTAGCATGTGCATGTAGCATAGTATATAATGTAAACAGTTACAGTAATTACCAGGATGTGGGAATAGAAAGAACAATGTGAAACTTTAATCAAGCAATTACTTATAGTGAAAAAACACCTACCAAAACATACCAAAGTAATCACAGTAATAGTATGATTACTGTTGCCTCCAATCTGTTATTCGCTTCATACACATTAGTTTTGAGAGACCAGGGAAATTAGGGAAGGGAAGTGAGGGAATTACTGATCTAATAGTGAAGTGCTTATTCAGTTGAAAAACTAATCAGTAACCAACTGTGGACTGTACTGTATTATATAATTATTGTCAAATTCATGTTTCAAAATGTTTGACAAAGCTGTAGAATATTAGTTTGAACCCATTTCAAAAGACTGTATATATTGAATATTGTTTTTATATTCTCTATCTACGTCATAATAAAGTTTGACTGTGAAACAGAAATGTGTTGTATTGCTTACATTTATTATTTACTACAGGGTTACTAGCAAATCTTACACAATTACACAAATATGGACTAGGTTTTCCCTTCTACATGCAGGAATTTATAAAACATCTGTGAAAGAACAGGTTATTTATCTAATACCACATTGACTACAACATTTTGCATCATCCGATCATGGTAAAGGGTTTCTTGTATACTGAAGTGTCAGATGGCAATGGAGACTTTCCTGATCCTGCTGGATGCTGTGTTGTCTTTAGGCTGTCACTTGACTGAGGCATGACAGGCAGTAACTTTCTCCTCTGATGGGTCCAGAAACACTAGCTTCATCAGGTCATTCAGATGATCTGTAAAACATGGCAGATTTAATGTTACTTGGCTCATTGGATCTCAGGTCTTCTGATCATTGGCAGCCCTAAAAGAAAAGGACTTGATTTATTTCATGGTTTCTGGGTTGGTAGACCATCCAAATACCTAAATGTAGGTGTACTTTAAATTATTTTGCATCTGTATTCATGATAAGCTAAAATCAGCTGATAATATCAGTCATGCTCTAGCAAGCACCACTACAGATAGATAGTAGATCATCATGTTTTTATGTGAAGAGACTACAGTGTGGCTATGTGTGGTGGTCTTATCAACTAAGTTGTTTGAGGCACATAAAAGCCTTAGAATTAGTCATTGTGTCATACAGTTATACCTACTATTATGTCAGTGGTTAACTCTAATTCCTTACTCTTCCAGGTCTTAGAGCTTCTGCTGGACTTTGCCTATTCTTCTCGTGTCATCATAAACGAGGAGAATGCTGAGTCATTATTAGAGGCGGGTGACATGTTGCAGTTTCATGACATCCGGGATGCAGCAGCAGAGTTTTTAGAAAAAAACCTGCACTCCTCCAACTGCCTGGGGATGATGTTGTTATCAGACGCTCATCAGTGTAAAAGACTGTACGAGCTGTCCTGGAGGATGTGTCTGTTACACTATGAGACGGTAAAGATGACTTTATAGAATTATAGATTGTTTTATGGCTTCTTGCACTAAATCATATCATGGTGTCCATCCATTTGTACTTACCGTCGTAAGGGACTGTTTATTATTTATCAAATAAATGACCCTCTCTACAGCTACGCATATTTTTCCTCAAGCCTCCCTGAGTGACATGGGGACAATACACAACCCTCTATCCACCATAAATAACTATATTTTAATATATTTACACCAAATGTAGGTAGTATTGGAGAAAATAAAAAGCAAAGGCTGACCTTTCAACCATTAGACATAGCTAACCAGACATAACCCCCTTTCCCCCTCTATGTGTATTGCTATCTGTCAATATTCAATTCAATTTTAATTTTATTTGTATAGCGCCAATTCATAACAAAAGTTATAGTATTAAGGGCAGAGAGAGAGAGAGAAGGACGGAGACAAAGGTGCACAACAACAACAATCAACCTCTGACATACCTGTTTTCAAGTTTTATAATGTCCTTAATACCACAGGTTGAGAATGAAACTACTTCAGGGGGGGTGGAGATTTTTGCATCAGCCATCAGAGGCACAGATTCATTTCAGCTTTTACCATATCTGGATGATGACACTGAAAACAAACGTGTGTGTAGTGGATATAAAAGCATGAGGGGGAACCATTTTGAAATTCCATCTTTTAGTAGTTTGATTTTATTGATTTGGCTATTGACAGAGCTTTCTCTTAGTAAAATTATGTGTAATAGTCTTAAATTAATTGGGTCTGTAATATATATGATTTTGAGGATGACATCATAGAGCATAAGCAAAAAAGGCGGAATAAAACTCTAATTCTCAACTGTTTTACAGCATATCAAGTTCTTGTTTCCTTTAAACATTTATAGACCATGTGGGAACCCAAAAACATACAGGAGAGAACAAGTAATCAACTTGACTCTGTATTGTCATTTTATGCTCAGTTCTTAGACAACTAAATTAAAGTTTGCAAGAGGCCCTTCTCTTCATCTCCCCTTCATCACTCAAGTAGAGTTAACAGATGAAATCTAGATTCAAGAATATTCATGATATTATAATTTATTAATTAATGTATGACTCATTTAATTGAAGTGTTTGTCCTTTAGGTAAGAGAATCAGAGGATTTCTATAGTCTGTCTAAAGATAAACTGCTGGAGCTGATTCTTAGCGATGAGCTCGAGATAGAAGATGAACAGGTGAGTCATCCTATTTTTCCTTTTGTTTATTTAGTTCTTTAATAAAATGGCAGCCCTACATGATTGATCAGTGGTTGGCACTGTTACCTCACAGCAAGTAGGTCCTTCTCAGTGCACTTGACCAATGAACTGGCTGAGAACTGGAGTTGGCCATGGGTACTGTATATAAAAACAGTATACAATATAATTGCAGTATTAATGATGAGTAAATCAGATTGCACATTTTGAGGGCCAGATGACTCACAGTGTCTGAATCTCGGAGGGAGGAGTTGAGAGTTTGATAGCCACAGGCCAGAATTACTTCCTGTGGTGGTCTGTGGTGCATATTGGTGAAATAAGTACTCCTGTGTTTAACCAGCACCTCAGGAAGTGGATGGGAGACATTGCCCAACATGACACGACGCTTGGACAGCATCCTCTAAGCTACGTGTCATCAATAAACTGGCCAGGCCAAGCCAGTTTATTTGTAACACATTGTCACTGTACACTCCCAGGCATTTGTAGGCCTCCACAATGTGTACACTGACACCCTGGATGGAAACGGGGGTGTGTGTGTGTGTGTGTGTGGTGTGTGTTTGTGTGTGTGGTGTGGTGTGTGCTGTGGTGTGTTGTGTGTGTGTGTGTGTGTGTGTGTTGTGTGTGTTGTGTGTGTGTGTGTGTGTGTGTGTGTGTGTGTGTGTGTGTGTGTTGTGTGTGTGTGTGTGTGTGTGTGTGTGTGTGTGTGTGGTGTGTGTGTGTGGTGTGTGTGTGTGTGGGTGTGTGGTGTGTTGTGTGTGTGTGTGTGTGTGTGTGTGTGAAAAATCATCTTCATCAGTGTTGTAGGCACACATACTGTGGTCTGCCAGTCAGGTAGTTGATAATCGGAGACTAAACTAAAATGAGATTTAGGGTTAATGCTAGAAAATTGTTTCAAAATACATTTTGTTCCCTCCATTATAGCAACAGGTAGGGTAATAACAGTAACCAGACCCTAATTTGAATATTATTTGTTATTATTATCATTTTGACTTGTGGCAGGTTGTGTTTAACTCTGTGATGCGGTGGGTAAGATATGACTTGGAGGGTCGGCGTCACAACTTACCAGAGCTACTCAGGGGAATCAGGTTGGCTCTGCTGCCTTCTGAATGTTTGTTGGAGGCTGTAGCCTGTGAAGAACTGGTTATGGCTGACAAGAGGAGCAGGTAGGCAGTTCCAGGAACCTTATGAATTGATATAAAGCTCTGATTTCTGTCTCTATTCTGTTCTCTTTATTTCACTCCGTTTTGTGTCTAAAATTAAATTATGAAGTTAAACATTTGAAATGTTACAAATAATTGTATTGTGTGTGTACATGTGTATGTGTGCATCAAGCCTGTCAATAAATACGAAAAAGAAATTGAATCATAGATGTATTGGCCACACGACTTTTTCTCAGTTCAGGGTGAAAAACTCAAGTTGTGAAAAAACACTGAATCATTCTACAAAGGCCAAATTTTAGCAGGTGATTGACTGCCCTGTTCAAAAGAGCAGCTGTCTAGAAGTGGCACACAGTCAATGTACGTGTGAAGGTAAATGACAGGCAGACATTTCTTTCTGTATCATTCTTCTCTTCTTTTCTCTTCTTTTCTCTTCACTTCACTCTCAATAATGAGTGCTGAATCTGAGGAGATGTTCAGTCTGGTTACCTGGTGTATAAAGATTGAACTTTAAAGGAGACTTGTGGGAGTTAAGATTGTGTTAGCAATTGTGGCTGTTGATAGAGAATTAGGCCAACCTTTTAGTAAAGACATTTAGCAAATGTGTCTTCATCCCTCAGTTTACGTTTTAACTCACCTCTGCAGGTCAATAGTAGAGGAGGCAATGCAGTGTAAGAAGAAAATCCTTCAGAATGACGGGGTAGTAACGAGTCCCTGTGCTCGACCACGAAAGGCAGGACACACACTGCTTATCCTCGGAGGCCAGACCTTTATGTGTGACAAGTTATACCAGGTGAGAATCACAGTCTTTAATGCTTGTATGACCTGTTTTTAACGTGTGATAAGATACTTGATGTGCTGTATAAAGGACAAGGTTTCCTGTGGCTTTGGTGGCTTGGTACATATTCATTCACTTACAGTGTTGAATTTAATCCTAGTTACCAAGACCTAGTCCTGGTCAAATGTTATTATATGGAAGGTATTGGCTCAGTTAGTATCCTCCTCACTATTAAAAGATGAATAAGTTCAATTTGTGCCCATGCTAGATTACATACAGTAGCCTCACTAAGATGTGTAAGTTCACAATGCAATACTACAGGAGTTTAGCAGAAACATTTGTCTCACTCCGGCACTTGGATTACTCTTGAATTACTGCATGGAGGACCCGTTCGTTACTATTGTGTTTATGATGTCTTGATGGCCTAGGGGTGTAAGATGTGTATGATTTAATCAAACGTTGGTTCAAATCCGGGGTAGGCTGCAGCTCAGGGAGTAAAACAGGCTGGCCCCTCAGTTGGCAGGTTGGTGGTTCGATTCCAGGTTCTTCCTGTCCACATTTTGTGCCCTTGAGCAAGACACTGAAATCCACATTGTTCCTCATGCATGTATATGGAGGAAAAAAGTTCTCTTTTTTTTTTTCTTTTATTACCCCAGATTGGAAATTTGACTTGCAGACAGGGGCACAAAATTAGTACGTAGTAAGTGATAAAACAAATATATACAATATACAGTCAATGGACCTGTATTTGTATAATGCCTTTCTAGTCTTCTGACCACTTAAGACTTAAGATGCTCCTCCTTTTGCACTTGAACCATGGTACTTTCAATCTATGGCCTGAGGGAAACGTTTCAAATTCAAGCTGGTTTGTACAGTTCAGTATAGACCTGGCCTTGTGGAAATCAAAAATAGCCATCAAGGGGGTCTGGGTCTGCCACTTTAACAATGTGCTTCAGGTGGTTTTTATCCTTTATATTCAGGTTACCAAACCAAACAATCACAGAGTAAAGTAAGAACAGATTTAGAACAGATCATTTTCCTGTCTACATTTAAAGCATTTAACTTTCTAAGGAATTACAAACATTGCTGTCCCTACTTAGAGACTGCTCAACAAAATTAATGCCAGTTCCGTTGAAAGTCTGAGATTTTAGGTGGGAAGATTTCCTTCTGAAATCAATGACCATATGCTTGTGGCTACATAGTATCAAATGCAGATGAGACACCTGAAAATAAAATCTGGCATTGGTGTTTATACAGGAAGTTGAGTAAAGTGATTAAGGCATCCTCTACTCCCATCGTGGGGTCCAAGGCCTCCCACAACATTTCCAGCAATTCTCTTTTGACCAGCGTTAAAACAACTAAATGAGTGAAGTCACTGTGGCTTCTGAGTTCCTGTCAATCGAGTCTGTGTCTGAAAGCCATGACAAAGCTCTGTATTCATATCGATGGATTATTTTTTTTGAATGCACCACAGTTTCTGATGTTTTAATCTTAGCTGAAGTCTTCCTCTTTCCCTTGTCACGGTGTAATTTCTATCCGTTACTAAGTCCTGTGCCTCGAGATTTCCATGTTTAAATCTTTAATGAAAAGCAAATCCATATGCATGTCCACATGGTGTAGGCTGAGTCTACCGCAGAGGCTGGTGTTTGATTCCAAACGATTCAGCCTCTGATTAGAGTCATGTATATAAATTGGGTTAATGACATAAAATTTAGTCCCAAACAGTCCGCATTGGGCTTCAAAGTCCAGAGTAATTTAGACAGCAATAAAATAAAATAAACATAAAATCAAGCATTTGGTGTGTTTTAATCACAGTACAGTCATAATTTAGTTTACAGGCTCAAAAAAAAACATATTTTACGGTAGAGTATCTCTTTTAAAAATATCTTTGGGCTTTTATGCCCTTTATTTTGACAGGACAGGTTAAAATAGTAAGGGGGGGGGGGGGGGGGGGGGGGGGGT